CCCATACTCCTTTCACTACACCAGAACCCCCTGTTAACACCCTGATTCCATTTTGCAAGCCAAAACCCAAAGAAAGTTATTATTGAGGCTTAAGGTTATACAGATTCAAACTGCTCTGATAAAAGCTTTTGTTTCAACTTTAATCTAGAGTGCACTTAACTGGCTTAGATGCAAAAAAAAAAAGAGGGTTTTTTTTTCCCCCTGCTTTCCGCAACTCTTGTTTTCTCCCCTGCAAAGGAAGGGCCTGGGCTACAGCAATACTGGCTGTACAATGTGCTCTCTGGACAGGGTGTACTAGCTGTACAGCTGCACATGCAACCGCCGATCCTCTCCTCACATCTGTGACTCACACTTGGAAGCAGCACAGCAGTTCAGTTACCCTAACAGAAGAAACTAATAACTATAGAATTTCAGCACTGATATTGAGAGTGACCTCCAAGTAACCACTAAGGGCAGAGCTGTATCTCAGACCCTCCATTAGCCCTAGGGTCTAACAGCACTGCACAAAGAAAATATTAATGTATTTATGTCAAAAACTGAGTGACACGAAATGAACATCATGTCACGTGCAGAGTTATTACTTCTGAGTTAATTAGTATAAATTAATCTAGATCTAGAGTTTGACTTTACAAAAAATGTTTATAAAGATAACCTACTTATAGAGGACAGCTCAATAATAAAGTATCATTTTCCTTAACCCACTAAACTGGGTAACCTTTTTCACATTTTTTAAAAACTTAAGCTTATTTTCTAACTGATAACTTAAAATTGTATATATTTATAGGTTACCATGTGACGTTTTGATACATACATTTAAATTGGATTATTCTTAATGAAAGATGCAAAAGAAATGAGAAGCTGTGAAATGTAGCTATTTTTCTGACTATGGCTTAGGACAGGGACACTGTGGGAACCTGGAGCCCAGGAGCACTTGGATGGACAGTTCATTTCAGTTAGGATATGTTGGACAGCAAGTAGGAAAAAAGTGAACAAATTTAACTATTCGGTGTTATAAGAAACAACCACTAAAAACTCAGCCTCTTCCTTTCAATGAGAATTTTGAGTACGTTTCTCTATGGGCTGTGCATACCACACACAGTTAAGCAGCACGGGACAGACAGAATTTCTCCAGGGGTCATCTTAGTCTTTACCTTGGTATGTGACTTTAAATGCTTAACCTATTCATGACAGGGCCATAATCTGTATGTCTTGCTGCCAGGCGGCTTGAACCATCAAGTGGTATAACTGTCCCATTGGGCAGCCTGTGACACTGGTAGTCGTGCATGATACAATCATTCAGGCACCACCAGTGGCTCAAGGCGCCCAATGGAACCATCATACATGTACCACCAAGCTGGCAGGAATGTGTTAACATTCTTGGTTCCTTTGCCTGAAATAGTAAAGACATTTACTCAGACAACAGAGGGAAAATATATTCTCCCCTCTCCTTGTATCAAACAAGGCTTCCTTTATTCCAAGGAACTGATTAACAGGGATCATTTACCACTATTCACTGTGAGTATTCTCAAAGGCATTATAATTGTCTTCAGTCCAAGAAGTACTCCTAAAACTTTTTTATAATCTAGAATACCTCACTTGCCCATATCACTTTCTGAAATTTCCTTACAATCAAGACTGTCACTACATGATTTTCACCACAGGAATGAAAGGTAACAGTTCACCACTGTTTAAAGTGATGGCATAAAACATCCTAAGTCCTCAGGAAAAGTACACTTCTTGTCTTGTTCTGTTTTGTCTGGTGGTACTGGGGATTAAACCCAGGGCCTCATGCACACTAGGCAAGCAGTGTACTACTGAGGTACATTTCCAGCCCTGAAAGTGTTCTTAAATTCGAGAATTCTGGAAGTCAGAAGAAACACTTGGTTTCTAGACTGTGTCCTACATAACATGAAATCATCTCATTATCATTTAGAACAAAACAAAACAAACAAAAAACACCATACAAGTTTTTATAAGACATAGGAGACATGTATTTCTGTCTATTGAACTTAACTGTTGTATCTGTTCAGGCTCTGCTAGATGGATTAACAATTCCACATTGTCATATGCTATCATTCACTCACTGAAAGTTAAAGGACTACTGCGAAGGTAGTAAAGAAAAGTTTTCCAGTGAAAAAAAGTTGGTGGGATGTACAGATCCAAAACATCTTATAAACACGTACATTATCTGTCAAATTCCATGAAGAAGAAACTGAATTGAAGAAACATGTTTATTACATACTCAGTGAGGAGGAAAGGACTGCAGCACCTCCCATGACAGAGTGGCTCTTCCCTGCCCCAGGGCTTCCTCCCTGGAGGACTTTTCTCACTACCTGGGAAGGAACCTGTCCATTTACTCTTTCCTGTATGTGTGGCAGAAGAATGGCAGAGGCAATATCCTCTGCCAAGGAAACCAGCAAAGTGCTTACCAAACTTCTTCATCTGTTCCAGGGCTTTCCTGAAGCTCTTTCATATTCAAAGTGAGTCAGCATATCCTAAACTCATTTTCCTCACTTGACCACACTAAAAATGTTAAAATTATCTAGTTACTGAAATTGGAATGAATAATAGGAACACTAACATCTTGTTTCAATAGGATTATGATTTGTCAGAAAATCAAAATATTTTGATAGTTGTTTTGCAGTAGCTGCTTCTAAAATGCAACAAGAATAGCCATTGCGCTATTCAAGTTCTAACATTTTTAGTATGCTAGAGTCCAAGTAAATGTGGATATATATAATCTTGTAGGAAATGGCATTATGAGAGAAAAAGGGAAGGAAAAAATTCCCTTTGAGTAGTTTACCAAAGGAACTTGTTGATGGATGGCCCATCAACAAAGTAAGGTAATATTGTATTTAATTTTCTCCAGAAAAAATATTCAAACTAAATCTATTTGTTATAATTAGTAACTTACATGTTAGTACAAACTTCAGGGCAATTTTTTTTTTTTTTTTTGGTACAGGGGATCAAACTCAGGACCTTGCGCTTGTGAGGCAGGCAGTGGCACCACTGAGCTAAATCCCCAGCCCTAGGGCAATTTTTAAAAGCCTAAAAAGATGGTGTAAGAGCTGATTGTCACTAGAGCCGGAGATTCAGCTCAGTGGCACCATGCCCGGCTTGAAAGCGCAAGGTCCTGAGTTCAATCCCCGGTACTGAAAAAAAAAAAAAGAGTTGAGTCACCAAATGTTGAATTCTGAAAAGTGTTCTCAGAATGTGCATTTTTCTTCTCTGCCCAGCTCTGTGTTCTACTGGCCCAGGTACAGGAACTAACCAAGAGATGGATCTCATTCATTCAGTAAATGTTTGTTAAGAATTCACTGTATACAAGGCACTGGGCCAGCAGGGTTACTGCCCTGAACAAGAGACATAGTCCCTGTCCTCCAGGAGCTCACAGGGTAATAGATGAGAGATGTGAGAAGATCAAATCATACCAGGAACCTTGCAGAATGAGCTAAGGCATTCAACAAAAGCCCTCAGCTTTTCTAACCAAATGCAAGCTCAGGACAAATTTTTCACTGAGAAATACCTAAACCAGACAATCCTATTTCATGTTTTCCATTTGGGCTTCAGCTGAAATCCCTGAGGCTGATGTAATCATCCATGACAGCATTATGACTCCCTCTCTCATTTATGTATATGCAACTGGTGCTCTGTTTCCAAAGTCAAAACCTTGCATTTTTTGCATCTTTATCACACTTTACTTTGTCACATTTAAATGAGATGTTTTTACTAAATCAGTCAGATATTCAAAAACTGTCACTTCACAACAGATATGCTTTATGTTGTACCCCATTAACTTGAATTAATTTTCTAAAGACTTGAAAATTTACAACCATATCTTTTTTTCTATACATTTTAAGATAACTTTTATAAAACACAGTGATGGCCACCAAATACTGAATGTCTACTCTGAATTGACACTTTTAACCATAACTTCTTGTCATCTTCCCCATACAACCCAGCAAGACACTATCGGCCCTATTTTACATATAGGGAAGCTGAGCACCCAAAAGTTAAGGCAGTTTCCCAGCACAACACAGCAAGTTAAAGCCAGGAACTGAACCTTCGATTATCTGACAAGTTAACTCAATTTCTCAGGAATCGTAAATTGGGCACAAATTTCTCACCTTCAGAGCCACGTCCATAATTAATTATTCACTGTGCAACATTATAATCAAATTAACTGCAGTCAAAGCTTTTCAGCAATCAGAATCCAATGAAACATCCAAGACTAGTAAAATAAAATGTGAAATACCTTAGGCAAATGGTAAATAAATGTAGAGTGTGCAACTATGTAGTCTGCTTAGAAGGGTAAATTATCAGAAAGCACAGGCCACGCCTGGCTATGTGAAACTTCCCCCAAAACGGAAAATTCTGCTAAGTGGGGCTTGGTCGGGAGTCTGGGACAGCTTGTGCTTTTTGTTTTGTTCTGTCTTCACTGGAGCTGTTCCTAGAGAAGAACTGCCCAATCACAGCGCCCAGGTCGCCTGCTCTCCGTTTTGAGCGTGGCAGCTAGCACAAACGTTTAAGCACACGCCATCGGGCAAGTCTCCATAACCAATACGGTCACGTCGCAAAAATCAGCATGGGTAGCTTTATGAGGGAATAGGACTGTCGCCCTGGAAATCTAAAGTGAAATGCACACGGATGGGAGACTCCTGCACCGGCCTCCTAAAAGCTTTTCTCTGTCGTCTATGCAAGAGCACAACTACAGGAGACAACTGACGCTTCCGCTGCAGACAACAGACTGCAACCTAAGCAGCCATCCATCCCGCGGCTTAGGGACTGCCTCTTCTCTCCCCTCTAGCACAGTTTCCGACACACTGGGACGTTCGCTGGGCACTAGTGTGGAATCCCGTAAAGAAACCCGTCACTCCGGGCTTGGGGCAGCATGCTTGACATTCAGTCTCCTACTAGTTCCTTAACACGCATACGATTAATATTGGTACTCGGGAAAGAGAACTTCTTCTGACCTTGAACGTGCGCGCTAAATAAATTACCTCAGAACGAAAGTGGTGAGACCTCAGAACAGCATCTGGGGAGAGAAGAAAAGAACGAGACTCCGTTTAACTCCCTGCTCCTTCAACCGCCGAGTCACTAAGGACTTGCCGGGAACGAGGATCGGCAGCCTCACGCAGCGGGCACAGGGGCGGGGTGGGGAGCCGGGCCATCGGTCTCTAAGGTGATTTCTCCGCAGGAAGTTTCGGGCAAAGTTCTGGGGGTGTCGGGGGCCCCACACCTCCACACCTTACTTTCTCACCTCGAAGCTCGCGCGAAGAATGAGCAAAGGTGAGGCTGCCGCAGCCCCAGACTGTTGGCAAACTGACCCTAAAAATGGTCCCTCCCTCCCGGCCCTCGGCATCGCCGAGCTCCGGCACCCGGGGCCTGCAGGACGGAGGGGAGGGCCGAGGGCAGGGCGCGGACTTGGAGCTCCCGCAGAGCCGCGGCCGGCGGGCTTACCTCGGCTCCTCGAGCGCCCCGAGAAGACCGATCGCATCGGATGCCTCCCTTTCTGGAGCTTGCGGTGCCAGCAGCAGAAGAAGACGATGGTGGCGATGGTGCCCAGCAGGAGCAACAAGAGGAAGAGCGCGCACTGGATGCTGTAGGGTCTCAGCAGCACGAGGAAAGCGGCGGCGATCATGGTGCGGGCGGCGGCGGCGGCCACGGGCACCCGCGGGCGCACGGGGCTCAGCGAGTCCCGCCCGGCGCTCGCGGCTCCTCGCCCGGCCCAATGGCTGCGCGCCCCGCGCTGCGCGAGCCGGCCCCAGCCGCGGGCAGCGCTCGCCGTGAGTCAGCAGACGGCGACGCGGCGGCGCCGGGG